AATTAATTCTTTGCAACAGAATACAGGTAAAGTCAGAGAAATATATGGGGATATGTTGATTACTTTTGGTACGAATAGTTAAAAATATAAGTTATGCCTTTTATATATATAGATACAACATAATAGACTATGTAATTATTTTTCTATCATTGATTGATTTAATGTATTTTTAAAATACCTCAGTTTTGTAGTTTTAGTGTTAACGTACAATATAAAATTTCTAAAAACTTAAGTTTACGTAAATATTTTATGTAATAAATTTTTGTTTTCTGTAGGCAACGAAGCTTATATAATATAATACATTATATATAGTACCAAAAGACCAAGCATTGCTCGTAGTGTTTAATTTATTTAGAAGGTTAACAACATAAAGCATTCATACATCTATAATTTGCAATAGTTTTTTGTTTTATTAAAAACAATAATAATAACACAGTCTAAAACATGTAATGAAATGAATTATATGAAAATTATTAAATTAAACATTTAAAAAAATTATATTTCAGTTATTTTTTTATCAATCTTTTTGAGCTTGGTCTCGTTTGATATGAAATTTTAAATTCTAAATAAAGGAGTTTGTCGGTTTACTTACGTGACACCCTGTATTATATGCATTATTCGTACTTAGCTATCGAATTAAGATGGATGTGAACAGGATATGAGGAGGAAGATAACTACTGTAATCATATTATCGCACAGGTGAGGTGGTAAAGTGTTGGCTTATGAGAAAGCACTAGACCTAGATAGCGAAGTTTAATGTGCAAGATACATATCGTGCACACACTGCTAAGTACATTTAAACTACCCTGGTTAACATGGATATACCATTTTAATGGTTTTTACCACAGTTTTAAATTTTAATGAAAACCTATAAGCCCCCTTATTTTGTTTAACTGAATCATTTGTCGGTATAAAGCGAAATAGATTGTTTTGCTTGATTTTTATTATCAAACTAAGTTAAATGAATTATTATTATGATGTCTCAATAACAACAATCAAATATTTTACTTTACTATTGGTTATTTACTATTGGTTATTTATTCTCATTGTTACAACACAAAATTGCATTTAAAAACATTATTATATTAAATTTGTGCTCACACAGAGCAATGGACCTGTTATTTGATTATAGATATGTGCATTGTGAAAAATATATGCTTGAGAAAAACAAAACTTCATTAATCTACAGGTATATTTTTACGTGTTGTGGTCATTAAACAAAAAACTTTGAACTATTTCAAAGTCAAGTTTATAATTTGTTTAGGTTTTTTTTATTTTACTTCATTGTCTCTCCTAGCAATATGACGAAACCATTAAATCTCAATGAGAAATAATAATAGCCATAAATATTACATGTTTTCCTTCAACAAGTACAGATAGAGTTTAATGGTGAAAAACTCGTGATGTTTTAATTAACACATGTAAATTACAATACATTATTCGAAATACTAATTGAGTGTGAACGTTATAATAGCAACACTAATTAAATTATTTCCCCATTTAAATTTCCTCTGTTTTTAATATTGATTAAAAGCAACTAATTATAAAACTTAATTACTAATTAATTTTGCATTTGGCCAACCAAGTGAAATGGAATTATTAGTCGTAATAATTGGTTTCTGTTTCCATATTAAACTAATTTATTGTTTTCAATTTATATTCTTTACTGGCGTTTAACTTGCCTAAAACTACTATTACAATGCTATTACATAAAAATATTTGCATAGATTCTTGATAATGTTTAAGTACGAGGGTTTTTTGCAGTGTTTACTTTTTACTAACTACTAGCCGCTATACCCGTGCCTTGCAACAGGGTCAAGATGCGGAAGAAACAATTTTGGTTTCTTGAAAATAATGGCAAGCAGCTTGAGAACGCTAAATAGAACAATTATTATGTTCCCTGGACCTGCTGTATGAGGATAGACTTTTATTAATTTACTATTTGTATTGACTGGCTACATAAACATAACTGTAAAAAATCCATCCATTCCATGTATCACAGCTTTTTGTTTCTGCTTGGTACAAATTAGCTGTTGTCATAAATAAAAAAAATAATAGTGCTGCACTCTGTTGGTAAACCTATTACTTTTTTATACTTTTGGACATCAATCAAATTGTCTAGTTGAAACAGCTGTTAAGATTCTTTAATTCCATTTAAATACAAGTATTAAGTATTAAGTACTCATAAGGTACTCATGCGGAAACTCCAGAGCCACTGGGGCGGAGCCGATTGGATGGATCACGAAATTGATGGTGTATACCTATTCCATTAAATTCTACTCGTATGTACCAATTTTCGTGGCAATCGGTCCAACGGTGTCCGAGCTCATAACGTTCAAATATATATATATATATATATATATATATATATATATATATATATATATATATATATATATATATTTAAATAATAAAGAACAACAAATTAATTAACAAATAAACATCATGTGATGATCTTGACATATGATTTTTCTTTTTTCTTAAAATGTATAGTAAAATAATCTTTGGTCATGGAATTTTGTCATATATATATAAAAAGTTTTATTATGGTTGTTTAATTTATCCTCCTTTTGATGTTTGGGTTAAATATTCTTTAATTTTAAAATTTTTTCATATATAGGATATATATATATATATACAAACTTCCTCTTTTATAAATATAGATTATCCTAAAAAAAAAAAATATATTTTTATGTTGTTACATTTTTAAGTCAAATTATAGTTCTTTGGCGAATTTCCCATATAGGGAATTAGCTATTACCGTAGTACTCATGGTAAGACCTGGACCCCGGGACCGATTTACTTTTTCGTTTTAAGGTCCCTAGAGGCCAAAAAGACCATCCGTTCAAATTCGTATATATAATTCATATGTCGAGCTCAAAAAACATATAATTTAGTATATTGAAGCGTTGTTATGCGCCTAATAATCGAATACAAGTTAGCAGATAACCAAGATTGAACTGAGATAGCATCTCACATTAAAACAGATTGAGGTCAGTAGGCTTATACATCAATCACTTGGTCTGTAATTGACACAATTGAGATGTTTTATACCATAAATAAGATATTACTCAGTTCTTTGAAGGAATCAAATGAATAATTGAAGAATGAAATATAGTTATACAATTGTTCAATTATGTTTACTAATACAGACCGTGCCACTCCCCAGACCGTGTCACCATCAGATCATGTCACCACCATACCGCGCTATCACTTTACAGTGCCACCCCTCAGACCGTGCAAACACTATACCATGCCACCCCCAAGTACGTGTCTTACCGTAGCACCCACCGCGGCCTTCAAAGTGGCAACATCGCAAGCAGGGTTGTAACAGCTGTTTTTTTTTTTTTTTTTTTTGGGCAGCTAATGGTTGTGTATGTTTTAAGAATACGAAAGCTTGGTTACTGGTCTATGCAAATTTCGACTCCTCTTGAAATGTGCAAAAATATATAATCAATTAAAATATTGTTTTGTTTTTCAATTCTATATGTTATATTTTCAATATGTTATTAAATTTATGTTTATAAATTTAAATTTGAATGAATGCGCGAATTAATGAGCTGGTGTTACCTGTCTGTCATGTTATCTTAAGGAAAGTCTTGCGCTAGACAACACTACTTGCAACGTTGCCAATTCTACCAGGCCGTGGCCTGGAGTTAAGGGTGGCCGTGGTAGCACCACCATACCATGCTACCACACTACTGTGCCACGCCCCAGACAGTGCTACACTCCAGACCGTTACACCACCCTACCGTGCCACCCCTCAAACCGTGCCACCACTATACCATGCCACCAATACCATGCTACCACAATACTGTGCCCCGCCCCAGACAGTGCTATACTCCAAACCGTGCCACCACCATGCCGTGCCACCACTTTACCATGCCACCCCTCAGATCGTTCCACCACTATACCTTGCCACCCCCAAGACCGTGCCACACCAGAGACAGTGCCACCACTAGAGATGTTTTAAACCATAAATAAGATATTACCCAGTCCTTTGAAGGAATCAAATAGGAAGGAATAATTGTAAAATGAAATATAGTTATACAAATGTTCAATTATTTTCCCCAATACAGACTGTGCCACTCCCCAGACCGTGTCACCATCAGATCATGTCACCACCATACCGCGCTATCTCTTAAAGCCATCACAACCGAGCCACCACCACAGCGCCGTCACTTCACCATGCCTCCCCTCCGACCGTACTACCACTATAACATGCCACCCCCACAGAGCAAAGAATAATAAGGCCACCCCCAAGTACGTGCCACCATCAGACCTTGCCACACCCAGGCCGTGCCACCACCAGACCGTGCCACCAATAGACCGTGCCACTATCACAGTGCCGCCCCCAGCCCGTTCTACCCAAACATTGTTTTTAGGTGTTTAAGTCGAAGGTGGGATGGCTTAGGGTCATTATGTCGTTATTTCCATACGCCAGATATATATCCGTTTTTCATTTCGGACTTTTACTAACCATTGTATAAACCAATTACTGGCATTTTAAATTATTCTTTAGTTTTTCTCTTGTTAAGTGGTCACTAAAATACAAGACCACGTTGAGTACCATATTTTCACTATTTTGTAATTGAAAATATGATTGAGATTGAGACTGCATTTAATAATATATTTTTAAGCCAATACGTTCTCCACTAGACCAAACAAACTGAATTTAGTTGACATCAATGGCAACGCACTCAAACAATACCATACTTTAGACGGGAACGCGCCACACACCAAGAAAACTTCATATTTTTCATATTAATTAAAGATGAAGATTAAACATTCATTATACAAAAATGCATTCATACGTTAACACTTTAAAATGGGTTTTGCTTTATAACCTTTTATCCAAGGGAGTATGTTTTATGTATGTTATATTCATTGTATATGTACGAAAACCCATATAGTCTGAAAATATTGTAGTAAATGTCAGCAAGTAGTGGCTAACTTGTTTGTACAAACAGCTGTTGTTGTCGGTCAGTGAAGTCTGCTGAGCTGTCTGCTTCAAACGGGCTTTACAAAATTTATAGTACAGTGAAGTGTCAAGCGAAAACTTATCGTGCCTTGTTCACGTTAAAATTGTAGGATGTCGTAATTGCAACATTTAAGTTCTTATATATATTTTATTTTACTTTAAGCCACCATAAATTATATTTTATCCACGTTTGTTTAGTTAATGTTGTATAGACACGCTTTTATATCTCTCAAATACAATTTAGAGGTTAAGTAATGCTTGCTTAGTCTGTGGTCTAAGTTATAATCTTTATTTTCAAATTAGTTTGTATAAACTAACTGAATTTATTACAGCAATAACAATTATGGAATTTTTTGTTTAACTATAACGTATTTCCAATATCAGAAGGATGATGAACTATGCAATCAAACCTAGATCAAGGACTTTCTTTAAAAATTTAAGATTGTGGATTTGTCTGATCATCAGTAGTATGGTCATTTTCACCTTGATTTTGTTTAACAGACAAAATGATTTGGGAATCAAAGTATATGATTCTACAGTAAAATTTCCTGAGATTCTCAGGGCTGGTAAGTTGACCTCATTTAGTTTGTTAGCTTAGGTTACATATGTATGCCTGGATCACTGCTACAAACCTGAGACATTGATTTTTATTAATTGTTCTGTCTCGTATTAAATTTACCAACCTGTGTTAAGTTACACATCGGAGAATAATTGACATCTCAATTTTATTACATTTTCATTAAATTGTACTTAGGCTTATTAAGTTACTGTACACACCTTTAATTTTGAAAGCCTAGCTGTAAGTTATGTTAGGCTAACTAAAGCAAAGTATAATTAAAGTCCATTCCATAACCAATGGATCCAGTTTGGCCTACTAACTTTCAGCTTATAGAGCTTGATTTTAACTTAACAGAGCATAATTTTTATTTACCTGTAACAGGGAAATTCCTGACTGGAGAGATTCTTGCAGCAGACGATACTAAAGTGATAAAGCGGCTAGCAAGCAATTTCTTAGTGCCTCCTCCTGAAGTAGGACCTAAATTTAAGTACAACCTAGAAAATCCCAAGCTTAAAGATACTTCAATGGGACAAGCTGAACAGATTAGAAAAGTTCTAAACAATAAGGTAAGTTAGGTACCGTAACCTTACATCGAGAAATATGCTATCTAGGTTAAGAAAATGTAAATCTTTATATGCCTAGGGCCTTTGAATGGAACGTATACAGCAAAGAGTACAATACTAAGATTACCTACTACTGCCTATTGTTAAAATTTAGTGGCGTGTAAGTTAGGTAACCATTAAATTGCTGCCATTGTTTCGCTGTCTGTTGCCCTATCGACTGAGCCGCCGATCATCTAGTCTTCAGTTTTCTTGAACATACAATTTTTAGGAAAGGCCTAGGCCTACTTCTGGTTAACTCAGCATTAACTTAAACACTATCATTGGTGGGTAGCCTTCAGCCTGCAGAGAACCAGTAACTTTTTATCAGTTTAAATATCGATATACAGGGATTATAATTCGGTTCGATAAATTAATTCTTAAATTTTTTTCTTAATTTAAGTTAAATATTGAATCAAGTTATGATCTCTTTACATTTTTATTGGTGTTTATTAAATGTTAGTGACGTATAAAATAAGTTAGGTATTCAATCAAAATCTAAATATATTCTATGCACAAAACAACAATAACCAAAACTTATCGATATGATTAGGCTAACGCATAGGGTAAAAAATGGATAGACTAGTTTCTTAAATTGTTAATCATAAAAATTTCAGCTATGTTTAAACACGAGGAGGATTGTGCGAGATTTCTGTCGGACAGTGAAAATTGCTCGTGTTATTTAGCGTCGTAAACAGAGTATTTTTACCAGTGTTTTTACGGGGCTCTAGTGCATTTTGCTATTCCACGTGTAAACCATGGCTGACAATAATGTTCCTATTGAAGAAAGATCTTCTGTTCCTGCATCTCAAACTAATGCAGTGACTGATGACAGTAAAAAATGGACTGATTTAGAAACAGAGAAATTAACTTGATTGTTCTTTATAAAGAAATTTTTTTGGAATGTCACATTGACTTCAGGAGTAGAGCAAACAAACATGAAATTGTGCAAGATATCAGCGCAAAGATCAACACCGATGTTACAGAAATGGCATAATTTTTTTTAAAAATGTCAAGTATTGTAGCAAATTTTCCCCAGTTAAGTTTCATGTTGGTGGATACCGTTAATTCTTCTATCAGTTGTGGGTGAACCGATAGTGATACTGCTTCAAGAACTTTACAGCCACAAAATTCCCACGAAGCCACGATGAATTTCGCATCATGTTGCTGAAAGTCATCAGTGTCAGGCTTGTAGTCTTTTGTAGGTGGGCGACTTCTCTTAGGCCTACTTGCAATTAAGTTATTTTTAATTATTTCTTGTCTTCCGAAACGATTTTCCAGCAAATTTAACATTTCTTTTACATTCTCGGGATGTATCAATAGAGGGTTGAAATCATATCTTCCGCTTTTACAGACAGGGACTTCTGTCGTCTGAAGATTCTCTAGGTCCATATAATCATTCAATTCAGTCGAAAACGATTGTACTCAGTTAAACCTGTAAGCGAGCCATTGATCAAGATCTCCTAGCTTGGCAGAGCAGAGTTTTTTCTAAATACCAGACCGTCACACACCTTTTGTAGCAACTGTTAAAACTAATATTAAAATTGGGCCTACATTGGTAAGTGCATATCCAAGACGGTTTACAAGGCACTCCCACATATGGAGCTAAAAGGCCTTCTTTAAACTTGAAAACCATCCAACTACATGGATTATCGGTCGTAATTGAAAATTAAATATTGCAGAAAACAATTTCCTATGAGGCCTACAACATTTTATTGAAAAACATTTTGACCTCATCCACCCAGCTTTGAGGAACATCGTTTTTAAGTCAAAAATAGATATAACCTGTGTTGATTTGCTGGGGAACGCAGCGTAATCGAGTTCCGGTAACTCTCTTCAGAAAGATAAAAATATTTGGAATAGGTACTAATCACATTAAATAGGTTATAGTTTCGGCACCTAATTTTTATACAAATCGTGCACTCGATTTAACATAAACAATGGAACCGTGTTGTGTCTAGGCCTACTTTTAACAGGACATATTCTGGCAGCCAAACTGTCTCCAAACACTCACATTTCTATACTTCTCCTAGGACTTAAAATCCTGTAAAAAAACCAAGTAGTTGTCACAAAGATGAAAATTAAATGTTGCCTTGTTTTCAAACAAATGTGATATCAAAAGTGCACCAGTGGAGGTTTCTTTACTTAAACAACTATAAAAAGATTAATGTTTCGCTATAGTAAAAACAACATTAGTTTCATGTTTCACAGTTGTTTGACAGCCTGATACCACTTATACATAGAGGAATCAGAGCAGAACAGTGCACCCGTGCAAGGTTGTATTAGTTGCCTAACTGAGACTAATTATTTTGCATTACAATTGTTTCTTCACAACCTTCTTTGACTGTCGCATTTAAAGTTTTGATAGCTATACCAATGATCCTCAAAATACTCAATAATATAATAGTATGTGTACTGTGGGATTGTCTCTTTTAATTTTACATGCATCATAAACACTGTAATCATTTATCTTAACAACTTTAATTACAGTAGAGTCCCGCAAACTCGGCGTAATGTGGACTGGAAGGGTGCCGAGTTTGTGAAATGCCGGGTTATCAGGAACTAGGGTTAAAAATAAGAACAATACAATTTTTAAGCTTTTTAACCGCCTTTTTTATTAATATTTTTATTACAAGTCAGTATCAAGTCATCAGATTTAGTACAACAAATCCTTGGTATGAGTTGCGAATGATTTGTCTAGCGCTGGCTTGAGTCCATTTTTAACTCGGACTCAAAAAATCACTTATTTTCTGAGCCAGGTGATGGCCGAGTTATCCAGACTGCCGGGTTATCGAGTGCCGAGTTTGCGGGACTCTACTGTACTAGATAACTTTTTATCTGATCATTAATGCCTATATATACTTAAGCACCTAGTACTGTTGAACTATAATTTTTTGTTGGTTTGACTGTTTTCCAGTTTAAGCTGAGAATTTATGACCCCGAAAAGGTTAACCACACTGAATTAATCTTTGGGCAGCTGAGTGGATCATCAAGGTCGCTGATTCAATCATGAAAAAAGTCCATTTACATTATATATTTTACGGTTCAAAAATGAACCCAGCTTTCCTTGATCACTTGGCTTTATATAAATAGTCCCAGGTATCAGTTTTGTAAAAGACGGAGGATACAAGTTCAGCACTGGTCACACTCTTATTAATTAAAAATCCGTTGGTCATTTGTAGCAAAGATCTAATTTTTTAGCCAAGACCGTTAATTAAAAGCCCAATGATACGGGGCAGCTGAGACCAACTTCCATTCGTAGAGAAACTAATGTACAAATATTTAAAAAACCCTAACCTGACCTATCTTGGCTAATTCAATTACTAACCCATCATAAATTTCGCTATAATCAATTAAATTAACACTAATTGAATTTGAACCACTTCTATTTCTTGTTTTATTGATTTATCGGCTACTGTACATTATTACCACTCTAATATTATCAAGTTTTTGCAGTGTTTAAGATTGAAACTACTGGCACAATTGTTTGCTCATCAGAGGAACGGGTTCTTCATAGAGTGTGGTGCGCTGGACCGTGAGACTCGCTCAACACTCTCTACCTGGAGAGGTTCCTAGACTGGACAGGACTGCTGATAGAGGCAGAACCCCTCAACTTTAGCCAGATACTCCACATAAACCAATAATTACAATTCTTTGTTCATCAGAGGAACGGGTTCTTCATAGAGTGTGGTGCGCTGGACCGTGAGACTCGCTCCAACACTCTCTACCTGGAGAGGTTCCTAGACTGGACAGGACTGCTGATAGAGGCAGAACCCCTCAACTTTAGCCAGATACTCCACATAAACCAATAATTACAATTGTTTGCTCATCAGAGGAACGGGTTCTTCATAGAGTGTGGTGCGCTGGACCGTGAGACTCGCTCCAACACTCTCTACTTGGAGAGGTTCCTAGACTGGACAGGACTGCTGATAGAGGTAGAACCCCTCAGCTTTAGCCAGATACTCCACATAAACCAATAATTACAATTGTTTGTTCATCAGAGGAACGGGTTCTTCATAGAGTGTGGTGCGCTGGATGGTGAGACTCGTTCCAACACTCTTTACCTGGAGAGGTTCCTAGACTGGACAGGACTACTGATAGAGGCAGATCCCCTCAACTTCAGCCAGATGCTTCATAAGAACCGCCGAGCCTGGCTGTCTCCGACCTGCCTCAGCAAGACAACACATCCGCAAGTGGTAGGCTATGTCATTAAAATAACATTAGAGAGTACACATCACAATCCCAAGTTAAAGTTGTACCGTTAAGTGAAAACATTTGGACTAAAGTAACTTACAGTAGAACTCAGTGAATGTCAATCACTGACTCACGGGATAAAATACTAGTTATAATACAGTGGTACTAGGCAGCTGGCTCTACACCTGCCAATCAATATCATGCCACGATAGACTTTTCATACAATAGACACAATTGGCAGACATGAAGTTATGGAATGGATTACTGCAACTCTAAAAAGCTCTCCTTAAGATGATCCAAGTGGGGGGTGCTGAAATTACTGTACTGACTTGTGAGAAAGATTTGAGACCATGTGATCACGTGTCTAAATACAACGCTCTCCTAAAATTAAGTCAAATACGTTTTAACGAGTTTTTGAGGGCGTCGGTTTAACCGGAAAAACTGTTACCCGGACTGGCCTCGGTCCCGAGGAGTCCGGATAAGAGGGAGTCTACTGTAGGTGTGCACACGCCACGACTGTTAAGTCGTCTTTCGAGTGTTAAAAAGATGTATATGACAGAAACCGCTCTCATATTATTGTGTGTTTCTTATCAGACTTTGTGCATGAAAACGTAAAAGAAAAGAAAATACTGGGTGCATCCAATTCATTGTCTGAGAACCGTGAAAGGCCAGATTTACCTTTTATACTAGGATTTGAGGAAATATCAGGACAAATTGTTCATGTACTCACGAATGAGTGTTGATAGTTATTAATATTATGTCTGAATACTCCTACAAAGACTTTTAATAAAGATCTGGTCGGCCGTGCCACTTTATCAACTTGTTCGTCTTGCAAAACACTTGCACTTGACGCAGCCACAACGCACTTGATGCAGTCTGACAGACTTTTTAGTCGCCAGTGTGCGGGTTCAAACTAGCCTCTATGCCTTTTCAATTTGACACGACAGTTGAGTCAGGGAGCAGTCAGCGGGAAAATGGGTCAGCCCCACAATGCCCCGACTGTCTGGCTGTGGTCGGCCCGTGTGAACGTTCAGATTTACCACTATGGGGCCGACTTTGACTTCCGACTATGACAAAATAGTCGCCTGACAAAAAGTCTCTTGTGTGCGGTAGGCCTTACTTACATAATCCTGTCACAGTTCAACAGATTTTGTTAAATTGGGACATGTTTTGGTTTTAAAACACTAACGTCAGTTTCAAGTACTTGTACAGTTGATCAGTTGTAAACATCGTCAAAAGATAAACACAGTACGGCACAAACAAAATTATGAAAAAGTACTAAAAGAAACATTGAAACATTAAAAAACAGGTTTGTTCTAACTAAAGTTGACAGAATGCACAGTTAGCAAGGGCCACACTGTGTGTACTGTGTTTACCTTCTGACGATGTTTGCAACTGATCAACTCTACACTTAAGCCGGGTTTACACGATGCCAGTTGGCGAGACAATTGTCAGGAGACAACTGACTGGCTTGGAATTACTGGCTTCGTGTAAACACTTCAGGCCAATTGGCCCGCCAATTGTCCCGAAATTCAGTTGTCTCCGGGAGTAGACTGAGGACAGTGAGCTGGGCCCAGTGAGGCCCCCACCCCTCGAAAACCCAGTTGTCGTGACAATTGGCGCCGTGTAAACGGTGTAGAGGCCAATAGCACTGTCTTGTCTTATTTTGGCAGTAGTACACTGGTTCACTGATAATGACTGGGCAAGTGTTGGCCACGTGTGAACAGGTTCTCGTTCAACTTGCCTGGCCTACGACAATTCCAAAACCACATGATGCCAATTGGCAAAGACAATTGTCTCACCAACTGGCATCGTGTAAACCCGGCTTTACCTGAAGCTGAGATGGTGTTTTAACACCAAAACATGTCCTCATTTGACAAAATTTGTTGAGCTGTGACAGGATTACGTAAGTAATTTAGTTTTACAATTGGAGTTCTGCTGTAGTTAATGGAGAGTAATGCTATCCGAGAGAGTAGGCTACCATCAGTTACTGATAACTGTCGTATACAATGAGTTTTAGTCAAGCCAAACCAGTAGGAATACATACTGTACACTATGACATCTTTTATTTCACATTCGCAACTATCAAATTTTCTAAAACTTAGAGAGAAAAAAGAATTTTGACTTAGCACAAACTGTTAGCAGCTTATTTTCAGTAAAAAACCAGCCACATCAGTGCATATAGATGGGATTTGTACCGGGGTATTAAAAACCAAAAAGTTAAGCTGTACGTCAAAGACATATTTAGTTAAAGGATTTTTCAATTTTATCACATTTTCGGTTCAATTTCAAAAGATGTTTTTGTTTCTTTCCGATATACCTTGACAAAGTAACAATTAATGTGTGTTTTCAAGCACAAAGGAATGAATAAAGAGGAAACATTAAAAAGTAAACTGAACCACCGACTCTTGCATTTTACACGAGTCATCACAGCATCGCCGTTTTTTTATAGTACACTCATGCAGTTGTGTTTTCAGGTTTCGTTCAAGCAAGACTTCAATGTGGGAAGGATATCAGACAAGAACATAGGTGAGGAGAGGCCAGGATATGTGGATGTTCAATGTTTCCCACTCTACTCCTACCTTCTAGCAATGAACATCACCCATGTAGACTACTTCAGTCTGGATGTGGAAGGCGATGAACTGAACGTCCTCAAGACGATTCCATGGGACAAAGTGGACATTGATGTAAGTATGCTGCAGTAATATAAGCCTGCATGTCAATTTGAGTTATGAATGGTTGAAATTACAAATGTAAAACCTAAGTAATACACGGGGAAACTGAAACTAATTGGATGTAGGTGGTAGACTGGAATTGAACTCATTACTATGCTAGGCCTTTTTGGGGTAAGCCATACATGGTAAGGCCTATTAGGCATAAACTTATCTAACCTAAACGGAAATATATTGGATGAGATTAGATGTATACGACACCTCAAAACCAGGGTATGTATTTTAATGCGAAGTTGAGTGTTGAATAAATGAGTGCCGGCTTTGTTAACTAATAATCAAATGGTTCAGTAGCCAGTAGGGGCAACACAGAATAACATACAATTATATTAAACAACAATGTGAGTCTTTCAATACTTAATTACTTTGAAATGGCGACCATACGAATGTAGGTATTTTAAGCCAAGTATGAATGGAGATGATTGTAGGATGAGTGGCACGATCTTGTAGTCTTGTTAGTGACTAAGGCCGACACAGCTGTTAATTATTAGCCTATACTGCCAATGGCAACTAAGGGACCTACAATTATCAATTATCAATTATTTAAGATGGGGACGCCACTATGTGCGTATTTTAACCCAAATATGAGTGAAGGATGAGTGTAGGATGAGTGGCGCGATCTTGTAGTCTTGTTAGTGACTAAGGCCGACATGTTCCTTAGACACAGCTGTTAATTAATAGCCCATACAGCTAATGGCAACAAAGGGACCTACAGTTTATAGTGGAATCCGAACCACTTTTTTTCCTTGTAATTTACGAATTGGTCTAATTATCAGGATATTACTGCGGATAGTCGTAGTACTCACTAGTGCGGACGTTAATCTACACCAGGGAGCATCGCATCCACAGTGCATCCTTATAAATATCCACAAATACAGTTTATAGTGTTAATGAAACTGGTGTAAAATAAAACGTATCTTAATTTAAAAGCATAATAATGTTTTGGGCAAAGCACTAGTGACATAGGAGAATATTTATGTGTACTGTGTTTAAAAGGTTTTCCAGTAAGAGTAAGGATGAAAATCGCTCGGAATTCCTCTAACAGTAAAAGGTTTTTTTTTTTTTGTTAAATCATGACATACTGAATATTTTTATCTTGCCAATATACAAAATGATGTCGACTAATGTCTAACTTTGGGCCGTTGGCGTGAGCTACATAGGCAGTCTTGGATACTTTTTTTTAATACTTTTAATTGAAATGGCGACCATACAAAGTAGGTATTTTAAGCCAAGTATGAATGGAGATGAGGATACGTTAATGGATGGAAATATTGTTGCCACACAATAATGTAATTGTAACCAAACCAAAAGTATTTAGTAATAGACTGCCTGTGTTCACAGGTAGTAAAATTATCTAATCGTAAATCTCTTCTTTTTTAGACACTGTCAGTGGAGTTTGTCCATGTAAATGACGGTAAGGATTCCATCCGAGACTTTATGACGTCCAAAGGTTATATAGTTGCTGCAGAAGTCACTCATCCTGATTGGTTAGCGAACGACTTTATTTTTGTTAAAAAATCTCTTATCTCTTAAACAACTTTATATCAGCCTAGGAAATCTGCCTACTAGAACTTAAACATTCTCTCGTATTTTAAGACATCCTTTTCTACCTTAGAATTCCCAAATGAATTTGTAAATACGATGTATACAGAGTGACAGAGTTTATTTAATAGTTTATATTTATTGTTTACAAGCTTTAGCTAAAATTTGTACGGTTGTGAGGGGTGTTGTATTATTAGATTGTATGATTTGTTGCACAAATTTAATTTTATTACCTTCATGCTAGTCATTTTCAAATTCTGTGTTTTCTTATAATTAGAGTAAAACATGACAAGATGTTTGGTTTTTAATCACATTTATTTATGAAGCACACAGAGGAAAGGGATACCAAGATTGCTCAATAAGTATTTAATACTTTCAGTTAAAACAACAATGGTAGCCTTTAATTAAGTGATTATTATTGCAGCATTTTCCTTTTACTATCATACATGCAGTAGACTTTCAAGATGTTCTTAATTTTTTCTATGTATTAATAGCATTTCAAATGTTATACAATATCCCTAAGGTTTAGAGGTGAAACTATCAACAAGAGATTTTTGACTTATATAGGCTTACCTCCATTAGTCCAAAATTGCGTCTTACTTTAACCAATGTTGTTCAAAGCTTACATGTTTCGTTGCACTGCAACATTGTCGGAGCTTTATGTCAAAAACATCAAATAATTTAAACATAGAATAAAACACGGAACATTTAAACAAGAAAAAAAAACGATAGCGCTATCATGACACGGCACGGCAGCGGTTGTAAGTAGACTAAGTCTACCTTATTCTATGTTTAAATTATTTGATGTTTTTGACATAAAGCTCCGACGATGTTGCAGTGCAACGAAACATGTAAGCTTTGAAAAACATTAGTTGAAATAAGACACAATTTTGGACTACTGACGGAGGTAAGCCTATATAAGTCATTATTCGTAGTCCAGGGGCTATCAGAATGAATAATAAGAGATTATAAGTATAACCATTCATAATACTGTTAGACAGAATCATTAGTTAGGCCTATGTTTGGTTGTTCCAGTAGTATTTCCCATTAAAACTGTCCAAAAGATTTCTCAGTAGAGTTTGTTTTTAACATTTTCTGAATGATCCAAAAACTATTTATACCAACTGCTTACACCCCAACCAAATATTTAATACTCGCTCCAACAAATTTGATTTTGTGAACTTCAAATTGCCCAAAATTTTTGCTTTAGCAATAGCTCAGTGTTTGTTAACAATAGCTTTTTCAATTGTTTCTAATCTTAGTAAATTGTGATATATTTTAAGAAACAGGAGTTTTCTAACCACAAGTTTACTAGCTAATTCTCATATATCTTTCTCACGTGTTGTCTATACCTTTTTAGTTGTAGTATTTACAACATAAGATAACTCTGGTTTATTCATATTCATATTCATATTCAAACATCTTTATTCATCATAAGTCATGTACATTGGTGGTACAGTGAATAGTGTCAGAATACTTAAAATAAAAATACTATATCTATGTATGGGAGGTGGAAAACTCCTCAAAAGAATATAATGCTAAATTTATTAAATAATCTTTTAGAATTTTCTTGAATTTAGATAGGTTTGTTTCTTTTTCTATCAATTCAGGGACAAATTTTAGAAACTCGTTACCAGCGTATGAGGGGTTTTTTTCAAAACATTTTAATTTGTGAGGCTGGACAAACTCTCTTCTCCTCCTGAAATTATAAGAATGTACTGAATTTATTACTTGCTCAGATTCATTTTTTTTTGCAATAAGAATTGTTTCATAAATATATTGCCCATAAACTGTAAAAATTTGTAATTTCTTTAGGATCTTTATCAAAAGGTAAAATAAAACAAGTCGGGATAAAATAAAAAAGTTAGAAATAAATTTCCGTTGTGTTTTAGTGTAAATTTGGAAGTCTACATATTTTAGGTAGGTTTATCAAGATTCCTCAGTCCTTTCTATGTAGGCCTATATAACTAAAAAACCGATTAATTTATACGATTTTAAAATAAAATCATATACTCAAAGGCATTTATTAGGGTTTTTTTAGGATGAACAAATAAATGAAATATTAATTGTGTTTAAAAATAACTGCTTCTATAGTTTAGTTTGTTATCTTATTAATATTTATATTTTCTATTGTTGTTAGTTATTGCTTCTCACTTACTAGTTTTACAGTAGTTCAGATTTGTTTGGTCAGTTGAATGTATTTAGTAAAAATAATATGATTCCGATTGATCCTAGTAATTAAATAACAAATTTACATTATTGTTTCAATTGTGATGTTCTTTGCAGTGTATTTATTCAACATGATTCAACTTAACCTGTCTAATGTCTAAGACTGTGTATTTGCAGTGGAAGAAGTGTTTTAAATGTTTAAACATAGGATTACAAATTAAATTAATTTTTTGGATCGACAAGATTTAAGATTTAAACCAGATTTAACCAAGGTTAAAACAAGATTGTTATATTTTTTATAATCAATGAAATATGAAATATTTTTGTTACTGTTTTTTTTTTTTTTTTTTGCTATCATTACTTGCATAATTTTATAACACTGTTAACTATTTATTTGTTATCTTAAGTTAGACAAATTTCTTATACCAAAGACTTTTATTTTAAAATTTCAGCAACAAAACTTAGATCAAATAGGGGGGTCAAACATATTTCTTAAAAAGAAACATATTTCTTGAGTATTAATAATTATCTTAAATAACACTCTCTTTAAAAGGGTTACAATCAAAGCTTTTTTGTGTTTCATTCTATTTAAGCATCAAATAAGTTGAGATGTAGCATCAGTAACAGTCTGTGATCCCTTTAATATTAAGTAAAATGACATGTCACAAGAAAAGGTTTGCTCAAAAAAAGTTTTATAAGTGCGTAAAAAAGAATGACAGTAAAAAAGCAAAGGGCTAAGTAAAATATAGTTAACAATTTCTTCAGAAGGTAACGACTGTATTGTGTGCAGTAAAACATGTTGTTCTCTACTGGTATGTAAAATATTATACAGTCAAACAACCCTAAGACGGCAATTTTGCCCAATGCGGGGATATAGAGGAAAGGGTCTATTATGGCAGAAAATAATGACCTTTCAAAAACATTTGTTTTGTCACCAAGCCACCAGCTATCTGAGACTTACCCTCCTCAAACCCCTGCCGACATTAACTTTCCTTATGTGGTTGAAATTAAGGAAGACCCAACGTTTACTTAAACGATAGTGCAGCGTTTTCACCCCATTTGCAAAGTGCCTTGTCAAGGTGGTTTGACTGTAACCTTGCAGCAGAACTCTTATATTCCTAGGACCTTGATTTTGGAACCCACAAATTACAGCAAAGTAATATAAGAAGTTAAAAACAAGCGTTCCCAATAACTAAGCAGCATAAAGGTCAGAAATGTATTGACCAGTTTTTAAATTAATGGTATATACAATTTCTTGGCTTGTAAAACTTGTGTAGGAAAAATACACTATGTATTTATGGTATTTAAAATAAAATATCTGAATGCAATTTACTCTTGCTGAGCCCTTCAAGACTTGTTGACAGAAGGCGAGCGAAACTCAGGTTGGATATTACGAGAAGTAGGTTATTCTGAGAGTATTCTTCATGTGTGGGCTTTCGCAGCTGGTTTCATTGAAATCCATGGTGATGGTTTGGTTTTTGGTGTCAACCGCGTCAAGCAAGCGAAGTATGCATTCCTGCATTCCACGCACGCCGATGACCTCACCCCAGCTATAAGTATACCTGGACGAATTTCTCTGACTTAGTCTCAGCCTAGCCACTGAGGATGCCACTTCATAGTAAGGGCGAAACGTCTGGCAGTGAAATTCAACTGGCGACGCGGTTGACGCCAAAAACCATCACCATGGATATTCTGAGAGTATATTTGGAGTACTGTTATGAATATCCTGGGTTAATATAAATATTTGGAGAAACTGGTTATTGTGAGATCAGATATTATGAAAGGTCCGTTATCCTGGTATTAGATATTTGGGGAAGTACGTTATGCTGAGATCTTGTATTTTTGTGAGTCCAATTTCGGGATCAGAGATGTTGGGCAGAGGTGGTTATCCTGAGGTCAATATCAATATAGGGATTCTACTATAATAATAAAGAACAAAATACATAATTTATTTTTAATTTTAGATCAGATATGACTAGATTATCAATGACGCTGATACATACCTGGATGTGTAAGGTTTGGCAGAAATGTTGTAAATATGAGTGATAGGTGAATGAGTGATAGCTTTGTTACTGACTCTCAGTTAGTTGCTAATTTAGCCACAGCTGTTTATTAAAATGTTAACGATCTATGGCAGCTGGGTCCAGTATTAAATCATCAAAAAGATTTAATGTTTAAAATTATCATAAAAGTTTTGACAAGTCTATGATAGATGAGGGATGAGTTAGTTAGGAGGTAAGGTATAATGTGGTGCTAATGAGAAATTGAAATAACATTTTAACTTAGGTAGCTTTGTAGTTATCCAAATCTAGGATCTCGATAGTTTGACCTACTTTTGTAGTACGGTAATGTTTGAAAACTAACAATATATTTTTGTAACATTTTAAACAAAAGGTTTTTTTGTCCTGCTTCCACACTAGGTTTTGGAATAGTAGACTTTTAAATTATCACATGCTAAACCAAGAATGAATAATATTTTTTGTCATATTGCAGCAAATACAGGTTGTTTTAAATGCATGTGTTACGGGTCTAAAGTAGCATTTTTACTTTCTAGGGAGTAAAAATCATCTGTTGTAAACAGTTGTAAATTTTGATTGTGGCAATCTTATTGGTCTATTAGATAAGGGCCAATTGTTGTCGATCGCTTGACATATCGAAGGTATAATGTACTGTAACTCAATTGCAATAGACTAAATGATTGAATCACTTAAGCTGACAGCTGCTTAATTGCTTTAGCAGAATTGAAAACAAGCTGGAAGTCGTTTTGAGAGGTTATTTTGACATAAACATTATTTCGTTTTCTAGCTTAGTTTGTTAATTAATCCTGCAATATGGTGAAAAATATAGTTCACCACACGGACAAAAAGAGTCACTTTAGGCTCTAGTGATGAAATATACTATACAAATAATTTTCTTTGTTTATATTTTATACAAATAAGGCACACACTGCTTAGCTACTTATGAAATCATTTATTTAAAAAATGTTGAAGTTTAAAGTATTTTTTATAATATTTATAGCAGTATTTTCATGTTGTTTTATGTATAATAATTTATATATTTAAATATTGAATTTAAAAGATGTAAATGTTTACTGTTAGTAGAGTTTATGAATTAATTGCAATTGTTTAACTTATGTCAACTCCAAGTCCTATATATAGTAATTTGTCCATAATAGTGGAATAGATTTAAGAGGTTATAATATAATTTGTTTGGTAATACAAAATGTTAGGAATGGGCACACGGAAGGGACTAAGGCTAAAGATGTAGTGACGTCATATCTCTAGTGGTTAATGTCTTCTCTTGAGGCGACACGATTACCGTAACGAAACGATGTGATTTCAGCGGCGTTCGTGGCATAGTTGGTAGCGTTTCGGATTGATGTTCAGGAGGTCCGGGGTTCGAAACCCATTGGCAGTACTAACTTTTTGTCAACAAATTTTTCATATCAGCAAGTTTGGTTGGTTAGGTTAGGTTATGACAGTTTAATTTTATAATACTAAATTTTAAAATTAATTTTATAATTAATTAAAAATTATAAGTAATCATTAATTAGATTTTTATCTTATATAGTTTTTATATTATCAGCAAGTCTGGTTGGTTAGGTTATGTTATGACAGTTTAATTTTAAAAATTAAAAATTTAATTTATAATTTTAAAACAATATTTTATAATTAAAAAGTTAATTTTATAACAAAAAATTAAAAATTAATTTAAAATTTTTCAACTTAGCAGTCCTAGCGGCGAACGCTGACACTACAAGATATTTTAGCCTTAGTCCCTCCCGTGTGCCCCACCGCAAAATGTTATATTAATAAACCAATAAACTTAAAAACTAAACATGTGTTATTTTTTTTACAATCCCTTTAGTAAACAGTCATCTATCTATCTTCTATATCTATAAAAGAGGAACTATGTATGTATATTATGAATACTCCAAAACCACTCAAACAGATTTTAATGAAACTTTCAGAAATTATTAGGCATTATTCAAGGATTGTTTGTGTGAAGTTTGGTGCAGATCCGTCAAAAGAGGTTTGCTCCAGAGGGTTTTGAGTGGGCCGATGTCAGACTTTTTTAACTACGATGTTTACAAATAAATATAACTAGCTGTTACCATAGACAAAAATGTTACCCGGCAACTGTTTTGTGGGTTTGAATCAAGGCATATCTTTAATCACAACATGATGTACATAGTACATGCAGCAAGCGTTAGTCATGATTTGAAATAGTGCCACAATTTTTCCACAGAGTGCAGCACAGAAAACTATTTTACTTTATTTGAATAAGTCCAAATATATTAAACCGCAATGGCAGCACACCTGTGCACTCAACAATGTTTAAATTCTCCAATTTTAAATATGTAAACATAAAAACCTTTAAATCACAGTATTATAAACAATAAAACGAATGGCAATGCCTTAATATTTTTATCTTTTGTTCTTTACCCACACAATCTAATATGAATTATTAAGTGAATAATAATTGTGAATGCTATCTCGGGTATTCAAATGTCTCTCAATTTGTAATAAACCCACCACATTACTGTCATTAAAAGAAGGAACTCCAATAATACTAAGCGAAACTTAAATCCGGCGAAGCTGTGCAACGTTACCAGACTGACGATTTAAAAAAATTACACCAAAATTGATTGAAGCAAAAACTAGGTGGCGTTTGCAGAGGCATCCACAAAATTGAGCGGAGCCATCAAGAGTTTATATTATATTGTTTTGGTCATACTACAGTAATACTAGTTGTTTTTAAAGCATGCGTTGCGGGTCTAAAGTAGCATTTTTACTCTTTAGGAAGTAAAAATAGATTGTATCCTCTATGGAGTAAAAATCAGCTGTTGTCAACTCAGTTGTAAATTTCTATATTGTAAACGATTGCATGAATCGAAATATGTATCGATTCGTGCTTCGTAGTTATTTTAACCTACAGTCTACAGTCTCTTCCCATAGCCTTTTAGCATTGCAGATACATTAATCCATTCCCACACTCAACACGCTCACCTTTACTACTTCCTTCACCACCCTCAACGTCGTGGACCTGTTTCCCTCTCTTCCCATAGCATTTTAGGATTGCAGATACATTAATGTAATTGCCAAAGATAGTTCCCACACTCTGCACTGCAAGCCTTACTACTTCCTTCACCATTTCCTACGTCAGAGACTTGTTTCCTTCCCTTCTCATAGCATTTTTGGATTAAAGATACATCAATCTAACTACCACAGACAGTTTTCACACTATGCTCATACTTTACTACTTTCCAAGCCATTTCCTACATCGTGGACCTGTTTTC